CATTGTAAGCTTCCACATCCTGAAAACACTGTAATTAGGAGATGATGTTCCTACCCCTGTGCAGAATGTCTTTGTCATTCAAACCACCCAGAAGCTTGTAAAACCAAATGGTACAAATTCAGTGTTTTTTTGTTTGGTTGGTTTTGGATTTTTTTTTTTTTTTGCCAATTAAAGTAGATTAAAGGCTGTCAAGTCAGTAAAAACTGAGAGACTTGATAAGATTACTAAAGAAGTATAAAATGACCTCTATTAGACAGAAGTCTGGAAGGGGCTGGAGATGGAACTTAGCTGTGGAGTACTTTCCTTTTACACAGTGGTCCTGGGTTTGATCCCAAACACTTTAAAGAAAACAAAAAAGCTGGGCATGGCACACCTCAGAAACCCCAGCACTTGGGAGACAGAAGCAGGAGGCTCAGGATTTTAGGGTCGGCCTCAGCTATACAGGGAGTTTTCAAGGCTCCTCTGCACTACACAAGATTCCGTCTCATTAAAACAAAAACAAACTAAAAGATTCATTAAGATATACCCTTAATCCATATATACCTACTTTCAATAGGTGGCTTTGGTCCACTGACTAAAGACTCTGTGATCCGAGAGGCAACAGAGCTGTCAAATCCAGAGTTAGAGGAATCCGGGTCTGGGTCGCTAAGGATACTTGGGAAGCTAGCTTTACTCTGGGTTGGCAGTTCAGACTGACGTTCTGGAATAGATTCAGACAAGAAGCATTTTAAGCCAGACCTGGGGGCAGGATATCTGCAACCCTAGTACCTGGAAGGTGGAGACAGGAGGATCAAGAATTCAAGGCCTTAAAGCCTTAGCCATTTGAGACTGGGGGGGGGGAGGGGGGGAGGACAAAGAACATTTTAAAATTGAGAACACCATGAACAGAACAAGGGTGCAAAATAAATATCTTTAACTCCTATAAACCAAACAATAACAACATTAAAATAACCCTGCAAGGAAAAAAGGACTGATGATTTTAACAGTAACAAATACCTACTGTTAAAACCAATATATAGCAGGTATTTGTTGGAAATTTTAAATAAAACTTCTGAAATGAACAAATTGTTAATGATAAATCTCTTCCCCTTAGAGTCACTAAAATTCAACCTGTTTGCTTGTGTTTTTAAAATTCACAAAACACAATACGAATCACCCACAAACATACCTTTAGTACAGAGATCCTACTATAAGACATCTGTTTCGTGCCTTACAGAGATGATCTGGATTGTGGATGTTTGTTTTATCTTGTATTTTGTTTTTTTGTTTTGTTTTGTTTTTTTGTTTTTCCAGACAGGGTCGCACTATGTAACCCTGGATGGCCTAGAAATCAGAGATCTGCCTGCCTCTCCCTCCCGAGTTGCTGGGATTAAAGGCCTATGCCACCATGTCTCGCGTTCAGAGATGAACAGTGTGGTAAGCTCTGGGGAGAGTATGAAGCAGACGAAGAAAGGGATTTGGACAGCTTCCATCTGAAGGGAGGAGAGAAGGCCCTGTTAGTCACTCCCTCCTGCTGGAAAGACAAACAGAGGGTTCCCTCTCATACGCAGATCTTAGCCTATGTGTACATGCAACGTGGTGATGTGTGTAAATTCCAGGAAACGAGAAAGTGGACCGTGAGGGAGTATAAGGAGGCTCTAAGGGAGGCAGGAAGAGAGGTAATACAGCACCCGTGATGCAAACCAAGGTGAAAGGCAATGCTGGAGTGAGACGGTCTGAGAAAGGTGGACAGAGGGAAGGAGGGACGCTCGGGTGGAAGGGTTTAATCGGGATGGCAGCTAGGCATGCACACCTTTAAACCCAATACCTGAGTCAGAGGCAGGAGCAGCTCTTAGAGGCTAGCCTGGTCTACAGAGCAAGTGCCAGGACAGCCAGGAACAGACACAAAGAAACCTTGTCTCAAAAACAAAACAAGCCAGGAGGTGGTGGTGCACGCCCTTAATCCCAGCACTGGGAGACAGAGGCAGGCGGATCTCTGTGAGTTCTAGGCCAGCCTGGGCTACCAAGTGAGATCCAGGACAGGCTCCAAAGCTACACAGAGAAACCCTGCCTCAAAAAACCAAAAAAAAAAAAAAAAAAAAAAGAGGGGGGTGCCAGACAGGGAGATGGGGAGAGAGAGAGGCAAAAGGGTAAATTAAAAAAATAATAAATCTTGATTTTAGGCAGAGGCTCTCAGGAGCAGACAAAATGCCCCGACGGCCCTTCCTTACCCGCCAAGGCCAACTGAAGGCCACTGATGTCCACAGACTGTCCCATGTTTCCAACATCCATCAACGCGATCTGGCGAGGTGTCTTTTTGAAGAGCTCCCTTGGGGGTGCCAGCATCAGCTGGGAAAGAAAAAACTTTTCTGGTGGAGTTATAGGAGGCAAAAACCCTGCAAATAAAAATGTATACCGATGTCTCTCCAATGGTTACTTTTTTTTAATTAACTTGAATCTGGTAAAACAGCTTCTGGCTACTTTGCCACACCACACTATGTTTATAAGCTAAATGTAACTGAGTTCCAATTAATCACATAAAAAGTCTATGTGTCACTTGAGATTCTGTGATCTCCAGAGTGTCAATAAAACTTATGGCCTTAATAACTATTGAGAATTTTGTTATCAAATACTTCAATCCCTGCAAAGGCTAAAGCTTACATACGGTAGCAATCAGAATTGCTTTTCTAGGGCTTGGAGTACAGCCCAGTATAAGCACACTTAAAGAAAAAAATCTAGGGGGTGGTGGAGAGATGGCTCAGCAGTTGAGAACACTGTCTGCTCTTCCAGTTGACGGGGGTTCAGTTCCCAGCACCCACATGGCAGCTCACCCTGTCTGTCACTCAAGTTCCGGGACTTCGGACACCCTCACATAGACATGAATGTAGACAAAACACCAATGCACATAAAATAAAAAATGAATTTGAAAAAAATCTAAAATGCAGCCGTGTGACGTGGGTGGGGGTGGGTATAGCTGTCCTAGTGCCCCGACTAGACTCATGGGATCAAGGAGGTGATGCTGTCCATCCGTGGCACTAAAGTTAAGGGAGCATCCTCGAATCTCATCTACATCTGATATCGGCAATACTGCAAAATTAAACACTCTAAATCTGTCCCAGAGACACGCATCTTCTAACAGTGAATTAGAAAAGACTTCATTCTCCGCCCGAACGTGACATTCCCGCAGAACAAGAAGGCGGCTGCATGACGTTAGATGCTACGTAATGTGGATTTCAACCTGCCACTTGAATATTGACTTCTTTACTCTGAGACATAAGGAGGAGGGGGAGGATAGACTTAGTGTCACTGGCTATAACTTCACATACCCCAGGGCCTGTATTTAACATACTAAACTGTGTGCAGTCCTTCCGTGGGCTGTACGATGTGTTGGTTTTTTTCGGTTGCGGGGTAATCAGTGAATTTAAAAAAAAAAAAAAGCAAAAACAAAAACAACTTGGAACTTCTGGCTACCTCTCCCCTACTTTAGTGAAGGCGTGGGAAAGGAGGCTGAATTGTTCTAGCCGGCGAGCTCCCAGCAGAAGAGCGGGCTGCACCCGCACAGCCGGCAGTGGGAGGTACCTGAGAGCGGGGGCCGGTCGGGCTCCTGTCCGCCGCGGGCGGGCGGCGCGGGGTTGAGCAGGTGCGCGAAGCTGGCCGCGAACGGGTTGGCGGCGAGCGGCTCGGTGCGGTACATCTCCCACAGCAGGTAGAGCGCCGTCAGGCGCTGCGCCGCGCTGGGCAGCAGGTCCGGCTGCTGCAGCAGCATCACCAGCACCGAGCCCAGGCGGAAGTGGTCGGCCTTGTTGAAGTAGTGGTGGAAGGCGGTGGACAAGCCCTCGAAAGTGCTGCCGCCGCCCGCCTCCTCCGAGATGATGCTAAGCAGGCTGGAGAGTTCCTTCGGGGTCAGGCTCATCCTGCCCGCGGGGCCCCCGGGGCCTCCACTCCCCGGCCCGGGACCACCTGCTCCGCCTCGGAACGCCGCCGCCCCTGCCGCCGCCGCCGCCGCCTCCCGCGCTCCTCTTTGATCCGCTGCGGAGAGAAGCCGGCCAGACGCCGTGCTCGCCCCGCCGCCGGGCATCCACTTCGCCCGCCTGCCCTGCGTCCCGGCCGAGAGGCCCTGGGCACCGACCGGCTCGCGGCTTTCCCCGCGGCCGTAAAGCGCCCCGTTGCGCGACAGCGTCGCAAAACCAAACAGCGCGGCAGTCAGGCGATCGGAACTGGGAAGCAGCGCGGCTGATAGGTAGCGCGAGAGGCCACGCCCCGGGTTCCGGAGACGCGAGGTGGGCGGGGCGCCGTGCCCGGAAGTGGGAGGGGCGTTCCGGAGGGCGGGGCCCTGTGGACAGAGACGGGGTCCGTCTAGTTTTTCCTTTGCCTGTGTAACCTAGGGAGGGGCGAAGGTGTGGCTAAAGCCAGCGAGAGCTGTCTCGGGGTGGTGGGTGGCACCAAACCATCCCGGTAAAATATTGCCTTAGTTATGATTTGAAAAATGGGTCTTAGCCGGGCGGTGATGGCGCACGCCTTTAATCCCAGCACTCAGGAGGCAGAGCCAGGTGGATCTCTGTGAGTTCGAGGCCAGCCTGGTCTACCAAGTGAGTTCCAGGACAGGGTCCAAAGCTACACAGAGAAACCCTGTCTCGAAAAACCAAAAAAAAAAAAAGAAAAGAAAAGAAAAAAGAAAAATGGGTCTTAGATGCTAACTGGCTTAACAACGTTCTTGATGATTCATGGTGAAATTGTATGCAAAATAAAAACAGGTTTCTCACAACCAGTTTCAACTTCAAGACTTACTTGCATTCTCAGAGATGGGATCATTTTGCCTGGAGGTGTTTGTGCACCGCTAGGTTAACAAAAACCTGGGCGGGAACCTGGCACTAGGGAGGCAGAGGCAGGCGGATCTCCATGAGTTCGAGGCCAGCCTGCTCTATAGAGTGAGTTTCAGGATAGCCAGGATTACATAGACCATTCTCAAAGAAATAAAAAAAGGAAACAAAAATCTGAGAACGTGTCTCAAGAAATACTCATTTACAGACCGGGCGGTGGTGGCGCCCGCCTTTAATCCCAGCACTCCAGAGGCAGAGCCAGGCGGATCTCTGTGAGTTCGAGGCCAGCCTGGGCTACCAAGTGAGCT